TCCTCCTCCTCCTCCTCCTCCTCAAGTCCTCCTCCTCCTCCTCCTCCTCCTCTTCCTCCTCCTCCTCCTCCTCCCCCTGCGGCGAGCGCGGGTCCCGCGCGCCCACTCGTTGTGCGAAAGCCGTCGCGTCCCTCCAACGCTCTGCGCGGGCTTCCCGGAGACGGCTGTTGCATGCAGCAGGCAACAGCCATCCCCCGTCGGCGGCATCCAAGAGAGGGGCGTCCAAGAGAAGTGTTCGCAAACCATGGTGCGACGCACGCACACGGCCCAGGGGGGCCAAGAGACGTGCTGAGATAAGAATTAATTCGGGCCTGTCCCCCATACAGGGAATGTTCGACGAAAAATGAAAAACATCGTCAAAGCTCATTACAAAAAAAAGGTCAGAAAATCATCCAAAATGGTCAGGAAATATTCAAAACATCGTCCCCAGCCTATGTTTGAACTATCTTCGAACATTCCCCCTGTAGAGGGACAGGCCCGACTTAAGATAAGAAGAGAGAGGCCATGAAATCCAAGCAGATCTCGTGGCCCTGGACCTCATCATCCCCCAATCATCACCCCCTTCTTGGCGGCCCCGGCCCAGGGAGGAGGGGGCACGCAGGCCGGGGCCGTTCTCCTCCACCTCGTTCTCCTCTTCCAGTGGGACACAGCACGGCATCGCCTTGAACTTTCGGAGGTCCGTGCGGATTTCTTGGATCCTCACTGACCCCCCTCGCTGGCGCGCGGAGCGCGCCAGGGGCGGCGCCAGAGGCGCCGCCCAGGGGGCCCAGCGCAGATCCAAGAAAATCCGCGCGGAGCGCCGAAGAATTATGCTGAGGCAAGTTGTTGTTCTTCGAACCTTCCCGTCGCTGCCGCCGTCGCCGCGGATCCGCGGCAAGCCTGAGGGAGAAGCACGGGGGGGGGGAGGAGCGAGGGAGGTGGAGGAGGGAGGAGGGAGGAGGGAGAGGAGGGAGGAGGACGAGGAGGAGAGAGGAGGGAGGGGGGAGGAGGGAGGGGAGGGAGGAGGGAGGAGGAGGAGGGAGGAGGGAGGAGGGAGGAGGGAGGGGAGGAGAGGGGGAGGGAGGGGAGGGAGGGAGGAGGGAGAGGGAGGGAGGGGAGGGGGAGGGAGGTGGGAGAAGGGAGGAGAGTGAGGGAGGAGGAGGAGGGAGGAGGGAGGAGGGAGGAGAGTGGAGGGAGGAGGGAGGAGGGAGGGAGGGAGGGAGGAGGGAGGGGGAGGTGAAGTTCACCCGTCGCGGGCCGTCGCCTACGAGCCCCCCGGGGAGCGGAGGCGTCTCCTCCCCGCGCCCACCCGGCCCTCCCACGGCCAACCATCTCCAGAAAAAAAAATGGCACATACAAGGATGACCAGCTTGGAACTCATCCCTCCTCCTCCTCCAATTTCCTACTCCTCCCCCTCCTCCTCTCTCCTCCTCCTCCTAACATCCTCCTCCTCTACTCCTCCTGCCTTCCTCTCCCCCTCCTCCTCCTGCCTCCTCCTCTCCTGTCCTCCTCTCTCCTCCTCCTCCTCCCTCCTCTATCCCCTCCTCCTCTCCCCCCCCCCCCCCCTCCTCCTCATCCTCCTCTCCCCTTTTGCTCTAATGCCTGGGCAGGATAGACTGTCATGGGGGGGTGCACTCAGAAGATGAGGGGGTCATCAAGATCGGGGGGGCACCGTGTACGGAGAATCCCATCAACTGGGTAGGGAGATGTTTGAGGCTGCGAAACAAACTTTCGGAGATCCGCGCGGATGCTGGAGGCGCCGCCACGCGGACCAAGCGCCGTCTGAGGAAATCCGCTTGGGGAGCGCCGAACAGTTGGGTGAATGCCGCTTTCATTCGATACCCACCCACCCCTCCCATCCCATCCACGCGCGTCCACCGGACTTCCCCTCCAGTTCCACCCACGCGTGTCCTCTACCCTTTGTAGGTGCGCGAACCGATGCATTCTTGTGATGCCAGCAAGCCCCGCGAGCGTTGCATTCGCGTGACTATCTGTTGGGGGCGGTCGGTACCTTGACCGATCCCTAGAATCCCCAACTCGTGCCCTGCTTGTCAGGGGAGCGACTGGTGCTTTGACCGATCGTTGCGACACCACCGCGAGAAGTGCATATGTCGTCTCGGCCAATTCGGCGGCCTCTCTGACTCTACTTCTCCACCTCCACTACGTCCTCCCTCATCTGTCCTCCCTCCGCCGTCCTACGCTCCCACTTCTCAACCTGCTACCTTCCTCATCCCCCTCTTCGTGTACTCCCTGTTTCACCCCCTCCTGTCGCCCCGTCACCCCCATGCCTCCGTCCTCGTTGCCCATCCCTCCTCCCATACGATCCTCCTTCCTCATCCAAACACACTCCGCCTCCTCCTCCTACCTATGCCTCCTCCTCCTGCTTCTGCTCATGTTCCTCCAACGCCTGTGTCTCCTTCTCCTTATCATGCTGATCGTCCGCATCCGCATCAACTCTCGCCTCGTCCAACTCAATCGCCCTACCGTGGCTGACTCCTTCTGATCCTCCGCATCATATCCCTTCATCATCCGCGTCTGACCCCTAAAACATTTCCCCTCACGAACACTTCCTCCTTCTCCTCCTCCTCCTACTCCTACTCCTCCTCCTCTTCCTCCTGTTCCTCCTCCTCCTCCTCCTCCAACTCCTACTCCTCCAACTCCTACTCCTCCTCCCCCTCCCCGACCTCCTCACGAACTCGCTCAACAACACCTACAACCTCCCCACTCTCCTACTCCTCCTCCTCCTCCTCCTCCTCATCATCATCATCACCATCAGCATCATCATCATCATCATCATCATCATCATCATCATCATCATCAGCATCACCATCATCATCATCATCATCATCATCAGCATCATCATCAGCATCAGCATCATCATCATCATCACCACCACCATCATCAGCATCATCATCATCATCATCAGCCGCAGCAGCATCATCATCATCAGCAGCATCACCATCATCATCATCAGCATCATCATCAGCATCAGCATCATCATCATCACCACCACCACCATCATCAGCATCATCATCATCATCATCATCATCATCATCATCATCAGCAGCAGCAGCAGCATCATCATCATCATCATCATCATCATCATCATCAGCATCATCATCATCATCATCATCATCATCATCATCAGCATCAGCATCATCATCATCATCAGCATCATCATCATCATCATCATCATTATCATCATCATCATGTTATTCCTTTTCCTCCGTTTCCTCATGTTCCTCCGTTTCCTCCTCCTCCTCCTCCTCCTCATCATCATCATCATCCCCCACCGCCACCATCGCCATCATCGTCGTCCTCATCAACAGCATCATCATCAGCATCATCAGCATCATAGCATTCAACATCAGCACCAACATTATCGGCAGCATCATCAGCATCGTCAGCATCAGCATCATCATCAGCATACGTACAACAAGCATCATCATTATCGGCGTCATCATAATCAGCATATTCTTCATCTTCATCATCATCCTCATCCTCATCACCCTCGTCCGTCTCCTCATCCTTCTGGTATGCACCATTGCATCAACATCGTCACCAACAGCTCACCACCACTACCACCACCGCGATCGTCATCGTCGTATCATCATAATCAGCACCATGATCAGGACCACCATCATCACCATCATCGTCATCAGCATCAGCATCACCATCAATTTCAGCATCAGCATCAGCAGCAGCAGCATCAGCATCATCATCCTCAGCATCATCATCATCCAGCATCAGCCTCATAGCCGTCCTCATCCACATCCGCATCACCATCATCATTAACATCATCATTACCATCAGCCTCATCATCAGCGTCATCATCGACAGCAACAGCAGTATTAGCATAATCATCATCGTCGTCAGCATCGCCATCAGCAGCATCATCACCATGTCCATCATCCTCATCATGATCATCATCATCGTCGTCATCATCACCAGCGTCAGCACTATCATCACCACCTTCAACATCAGCATCAGCATCATCACCATTATCAGCATGACCAACATAAACGTCAGCATCATCATCACCAACGACGTCATCAGCAGCATTAGCATGCCATCATCGTCAGCATCGACATCACCCCTAGCAGAACCATCATCACCATCATCAGCGGCACCATCACCATCATACGCAGTATCATCCTCATTATCATCACTGGCATCATCATCATCATCATCGGCATCACCATCACATTCATCAACAGTATCATCATCATCATCATCATCATCATCATCATCATCATCATTATCATCATCATCATCAGCATCATCATCATCATCATCATCATCATCATCATCATCGCCAAAGCGTCATCAGAATCAACATCATAATCCTCAACAGCAAATCATCACCGTCATGCACATACACATAAGAATGGCCATCATCACCGCATTTCCATCATGATCATGATCGTCAGTATCATAATGACCAACTCACCACCACCACCACCACCAGCATCGTCATCCTCAACACCATCACCATCGACATTAAACCATCATCAGTACGTACCGCCATGCAGTATCAACAACAGCAGAATCATTCCCCACAGCATCATCAGTATCGCCTTAATCATCATCAACAGCAGCATTACGAACACCAACATAATCATGGTCATCACAATCGTCATCATCAACAGCACCGTCACCAGTCGTCCTCATCAATGACAGCACCAGCATCATCGCAATCGTTAGCATATCATGATCGTCCTGCACATCATCATTTTCATTCTCAGCTACAGCATCACAACCACACCACCACCGCCACAACCACCATCACCATCACGTCACCACCACCGTGTTCCTCCTCTCCTCCACCTCCTCTCCATCATCAGGTTCGGCATCAGCTTCAGCAGCATCAGCATCAGCATCAGCATCAGCATCAGCATCCACCATCCTCAGCCATGCCATCATCACGATCATCCGCAGCTGCATCATTATGATCATCCTCATCATCATCTTCACCATTGGGACCATCCTCACCATCATCACAACTCATCACCCTCATCCTCCTCCCCGTCATCACCAGAAACAGCAGCGGCAGCAGCATAACGCGCCCGCACGCCCATCCTGGCACGTGCAGGGGCCTCTCGAAAAAAAGTCTCGTGCAGGGCTGCAGCGCCCCGGGCGCCCGGCGCCCGCGGGCCTGCGGGCCCACCCGCGGGGGTGGAGAAAGGACCCGCCTGGCGCGCCCGCGCCGCGGCGCCCACGACAGGGCCCAGAGCACAAGGCCGCGCAGGCAGAGATGCGATGAGGGAGGAGGAGGAGGAGGAGGAGGAGGAGGAGGAGGAGGAGGAGGAGGAGGAGGAAAAGCGAATACTACGACTGCCACGAGACGGTTGGAACAAGCAGCATGGCGGCGAGACCCTTCCCTCTGCCACGAGAGGGTTGGATCAAGCAGCACAGATGCGAGGGCAGCCTCCCAGACAGCCGGCGGATGCTCGGAGCCAGCTCCTGCGCAGACAGGCCAGGACGAGGACAGGATCGTGTGAAGATAAACATCGAGTCTCTGAGCTCGGGCGGCGCTGGAGGACTTCTCGGGGGCCGCGGCCTTCTCAGAGCGTTCCAGAACGCTCTGAAGGGCGTTTCCGAACGATCTGAGCGGATGTATCCTCGTTCTAGCCGCGTCCGACGTCAGCACGATGAAAGTCGATCAAGCCCGATGAAAAGGCCATTGAGCCTGATCAGACAGGATTAAGCTGGCAATCGTGCGGGACTAAGCGGGATCAGGCAAGATTAGGCGGGATTGGGCCAGATTGCGCAGAATTCAAAAAAATAGGACAGCCCAGGGATACTTATACCAACGACGATTCAGAATTTCACAAGCGGCCCGCATGAAGAAAATCCTGAAGACCTCGCGCGGCAACTTGAAGCCCAATTTGCGTCGGATCCACGTTGGACTGACGTCGGGTTCCCGTCGGATTGCGTCGGACTCACGTCGGATTCACGTCGGATTTCTGTCGGAGCATCGCTGCGAGAACGTCGACGCATATGTTACGGAGCGGACGTGCGGATTCGATGATACAACTATTGCGTGCCGCGCGAGGCCTCCAGAATTTCCTCACATCGAACCCATTTGTTATGGCCCCAGGGTCGATAGCGGCCCTCTGAGGCCGAATTTGAGGGAAACTCCCACGTAGAAAAGACTCCAGATGTCCAAAAATTGTAGCATCGCGAAAAATCACGCCTGGAGCCCTGGGCCTCATGTCCCTGCTGTAATCTCCGAACTAGACAGATATGTGATGCTCCCAGGGCCCGAAACTGGGCGAACGCGCACGTCTCAACAAACATTGCAACGCCAACATCCTCGCCACTGGGTCAGAGGCATCTTTGATGGGGTCCGAGTTTATGGGTCGGAGGATCGCACCGCTTCGCCAATGCATCGGCGAAGTATCGGCGATACATCTGCGACACGTCGGCGACGCATCGGCGACGTCGGCCTGACAAACATCTGGCTACACATCAACCCGCATCTCCGAGGCATCGGCGATGCGGCGCGATCCTCCGACCTCAACGACTCGGACGGACCCCATCTGGTAGGTGGCGACATCCGAACCCTACCCCACCAACCATCGAGTCTCCTGAATCGATGGGAGGCGGGAGCGGGGTCCGGGTTTCACCGCGTGCTCAACGGATTTCGAACCCTAACCCCGCCGCCCATGGAGCTGCCTGAATCGTTGATCGGGGAGAGCAGGGTCTGCCAGGAAGCTGGGTGCACCCGTGGCTGCATCAACATGAGGAACATCTGAGGTCCACGCGCTGGACACGCGCGTGGAGGGCCAGCGTGCCTGGCCACACGAGGGCCGAGGAAAGGAAAAATATGTGGCCACGTGGGCCAATCCAAGCCCGGGTCAGTCAGGCTTTGCAGGATGCTGCAAGATCCTGCAGGATCTTGCAGCATCCTGCGTGCCAACCCCAGGTAAGCGCACCCCTGGCTCTGCAGGATCCTGCAAGATCCGGCGCTCTGGCTGACCCCAGTTTGCATTGACCCCCGCCCCTTGAACCCGTATGCATCCATAGAAGAAGACAAAACGCCATAAACATGCACTTTTGGCGCTCCGCGCGGACTTCTTGGATCTGAGCTGGGCACGCCCCCCCCCCCGAGGCGCCTCCAGCGCCGCCCCTGGCGCGCGGGCGCGGAGCGCCCAACGTTTCTGTTTACAGCGTCTCTCTTTCTTCGAATCCGGCTCCCGCCCAGGCCGGCAGCGTCACGTGTGCCCGGCTCCCTGGCCCCCCATGCGTGCGCCCCGACCCTTGGTGGTCCCCAAACGTGGTGGTGAGAACACCCGGTGGTGAGTTTTGGGCGATTTGGGTAACGGTTTTCGAGCGCTGGCTGGCCCAGGAAACGCAAAACCTCGTGGCGACCGCGTGTTCCCAAACCCGGTGGTGACCCAGAATTCTTTTTGTTGGGGAATCGGGGTCACCACCGGGTGTCTCACCACCTTCAGGGGGACGTAAGACCTGGGTACAGGGGACTCGGAAATCCCCGACGAGGTTGTCAAAAAAATGACGAGGCCGAGCCTGCATTTTGACGAGGCCTCCCGCTGCAGACATCCCACGAAACTCCTCCTCGTCAAAATCCGAGGCGCGGTCGTCAAAAAACGATGGCGAACCCGAGTCCTGGCAAACCCGGGTCTTACGCTCCCCCGACACCTGGTTTGGAGACCACCAAGACCCTGCCAGCCCGCGCCCGCTGCCGGGAGGCTGCCGCGAGTCACCGCCCGCGCGAGGCACCGCCCGCGAGCCGCGGCCGCCCCGGGCGGCAGCCCGCCTCAGACGCGGCGGAGCAGCAGCGGGGGCCCCGGGGCCACGTGGGCCGAGCCTCCGCGCGGCACCACGGCGTGCCGCGGGGCCGCCTGCGGCGGAGCGCACAGAGGCACACGAGGAATTACGAGATGTGTCCTCCCTGGAGGCGCGCGGCCGACCCGAACCTATATATATATATATATATATATATATACACATATATATATATATTTATATATATATACATATATATATATATATATATATATATACATATATATATACATATATATATATGACTATATATATATATACATACCCATCTTGCATTAGATCGTTTCCCCAGCGGCGTGGCCAGAAAACGCCCGCGACGGCGCAGATACCATGAGGCTTCTCGGTGCGCGCGTCGCCCTGGGAAGCGCGCGTCCGACCCACACCTATTGTACATCCATCTGGTAGTTGATCGTTTCCCGTGCGGCGTGGCCAGAAAGCGCCCGCAACGGCGCATGTATGAGATTTCTCGGTGCGCGCGTCGCCCCTGGGGGGGCGACATATACGCACACATGGTATGAGTATGTTTGGGTGACTCCGATGTGGGGAAACAGAAAGATATGACGAAGCCAGGATGAGGATCAACATCGGGTGAGGTCAAATCGGAGATCTCCGAGACCCGACGGATCTGGAAGATGTCTCGGGCGCCGCGGCCTTGTTAGAGCGTTCTGGAACGCTCTGGAACGGATTGATCTTCGTCCTAGCCGCGCCCGAAAAGTTCCCCGAGCTCCAGGCGTCGCAATCTCTTCTCGCAACGGGCGAATTTGCCTTGCGTCGGGCCCCCAGGCCCTCACGGATCGAACCGGCTCGAAACATGCCGCAGAGAGATGAAGCTCAGGGCGCCTCGTCGTATTACTGTTCACGATGCTGTACGTAGTCGCAACTTGGGGGGCGGAAAGATACGGATACGTGTTGTCCCCGGACCTCTCTTGGGGTGCGTTCTGACTAGAATTTCGAGGCGAATCCAGCGGTGACATCGAGGATTCCCCAGGAGGACCAGGAAAGGCCGAAAACGAAGGAGGACAACACGTATCCGTATCTTTTTCCCCCCCGAGCAACGTCGAATCTCAGGGGAAAGCGATTAGTGCCGGTGCCTCTCCACACGTCGTGCCCTGTGCAAGCCCACTGCAACATTCGGGGGGGGGGCCCTTACGCGCCGGCCAACCGCCGCAAGGGCAACTGCCGGGAGCCCAAGTGGGTGAGATGCGTGCTGCCCTCTGGCCACCCTCCTCCCCGCATGCCTACTCCCTGCGCCCGCACCCGTCGCCACAGCATTTTGCGATGTTGGAGTTGTTCACAACGCCAGATCCCAGAGAATGATTCGGCTGCGCGCAGGGGGCGACCCAGGGAACGGTCTGAGAACACAGAGTGTCTCACTCGCATTCTGCGCGGCAGCATGTGAGCATAGAATACGACCAGAAGCTCCCTGGTGACACATGTCACCCCGAAAACGGTGAAATAAAAAACAAGTGCTTCACTCGAGGATCGTGGCCTCCGAGGGGGGAGCCGCAATCGACTACCCCCAAGAGCCCCCCAAGAGGCCCTGGGGGCCTCCAAAACGCCGCCAAGGAGCCCCAAGAGACTCCCAAGAGGTCCCCAAGAGGCCCCCAAGAGGCCCTAAAGAGGGCTCCAGGGCCGGCGGCATGAGCGAAGCGATTAAATAAAAAACAAGTGCTTCACTCGCATTCTGGGCGTCGACGTGAAAAAACATACTCTGCAGAGAAAAAAGCAGGGGTGGCACGGGCCGCCCTGAAAAAACGGTGTGCGAGAAAACGAGTGGCCCCTCCGTATGGTCAGCGCCAACATGCAACCATGCATGACGACAGACCGCGGGGCTGATACGTGTCACACTGAAAACGGTGTGAGAAAAACCGATTGGGTCACTTGCACTCTGAGCGTCAATTTGTAATCACACATCACGTGAAGCACAGAGACGGCATGTGTCGCCCCGAAGTCGGTTCGAGAAAAACGAACCGGCTAAAAATCACTGATTGTCCTAAGATTGTAGATAGATATGGGGATTCTCGCCTTTTCGGCGTCTCGAAACTCCAAGACGGCCCAAGAGGCGCCCAATCTCACCCCAAGATAGCCCAAAAAGCATCCAAGAGCGCCCCAAACCGACCCAAGAGGGCCCCAAGACGGCCCAAGAGGCCTCCAAGACGGCCAAAGAGGCCCCCAAGACGGCTCAAAGAGGGTGCCCAGACAGGGGACCCGAACAGACATTTCGAGCCCTCGGCCTGAGAGGCTTCCAGGTAGAACCACCAAGAGGCCCCCAAGAGGCCCCCAAGAAGCTCCCAAGAGGCTGCCAGGAGCCTCCCAAGAGGCCCCCAAAAGGGCCCCAAGAGACCGCAATACTACCCCCGAGAGGCCCCCGAGAGCGCCCCGAAGAGACCCCATGAAGCATCCCTGAACGTCAGCATCGTCGTCGTCATTCAGGGAAAGCAGCAACGGCCGTAAGGCCTCTCCAATAGGGGTGACTACTCATGTCATCCCGAAACGGAATGGGAAAGATCAACTGGTTCACTCGAATTTTGAGCGTCAACGTGTCATCATACATATCGAAGCAGCGCAAGAGTGACACCTCTCACCCCGAAACCGTCCGAGAAAAAATACCTTATTCGTACTTCATTACAAAATTAGCCAAAGGGGTGACACGTGTGACACTGAAAACGGTGAGAAAAAACGATTGGCGCATTCGCATTATGAACATCATCATGCAATCAAACAGTAAGAGTAACCAGACTGATGAGATGTGTCATCTCGAAAACGGTGTTAGAACAAAACATGCGTCACTCGTATTCTGAGCGTCAGCGTGAAATAAAATACAGGGGTGGCACCGTTGACCCCGAAAACAATATGAAAAAAACTTGACTCACTGGCATTGTGAGTGTCAACATGTATGCAATCAAGCATTCAACGAATAAGCACCGGGGTGCCGCGTGTCACCCCGAAAAAGGCTTTGAAAAACATGTGGTTCACGTGCATTTCGAGTCAGACCGTGGTTATACACCACGAAGAAACGCAATGGGTGAGATGCGGCACGGAGAATGGGGCCCGCGAAGAAAAAATCAAGCTGCCAGTGTCGCAACGGGGCCGCTTCGTGGCCACATGGAAAAAACAAAAAAACAAAAAAAAAAAAAAAAAAAAAAAAAAAAAAAAAAAAAAAACGGCAAAGCAACCTAACATCGATGTGTAGGAGCATATCTGGAAGCATTCCCCTTAAGATTCGGATGAGAATCCAGTTGTAGAATTCTGCTGTTCTCGCAGTCGTAGTCGCATTCGCGATGACAGTCGCAGTGGCAACTGCAGTCGCAGTCACAGCCTCAGCCTCAGCCTGCCTCAGCCTGCCTCAGCCTCAGCCTGCCTCAGCCTCAGCCTCAGCCTCAGCCTCAGCCTGCTTCAGCCTCAGCATCAGTCTGCCTTCAGCCTCGGCCTCAGCCTCAGCCTGCCTCAGCCTCAGCCTGCATCAGCCTCAGCCTCAGCCTCAGCCTGCCTCAGCATCAGCCTGCCTCAGCCTCAGCCTCAGCCTGCCTCAGCCTCAGCCTCAGCCTGCTTCAGCCTCAGCCTCAGTCTGCCTTCAGCCTCGGCCTCAGCCTCAGCCTGCCTCAGCCTCAGCCTGCATCAGCCTCAGCCTCAGCCTCAGCCTGCCTCAGCATCAGCCTGCCTCAGCCTCAGCCTCAGCCTCAGCCTGCCTCAGCCTCAGCCTCAGCCTGCTTCAGCCTCAGCCTCAGTCTGCCTGCAGCCTCGGCCTCAGCCTCAGCCTGCCTCAGCCTCAGCCTCAGCCTCAGCCTCAGCCTCAGCCTGCCTCAGCCTCAGCCTCAGCCTCAGCTCAGCCTGCTTCAGCCTCAGCCTCAGTCTGCCTTCAGCCTCCGCCTCAGCCTCAGCCTGCCTCAGCCTCAGCCTGCATCAGCCTCAGCCTCAGCCTCAGCCTGCCTCAGCCTCAGCCTGCCTCAGCCTCAGCCTCAGCCTGCCTCAGCCTCAGCCTCAGCCTGCTTCAGCCTCAGCCTCAGTCTGCCTTCAGCCTCGGCCTCAGCCTCAGCCTGCCTCAGCCTCAGCCTGCATCAGCCTCAGCCTCAGCCTCAGCCTGCCTCAGCCTCAGCCTCAGCCTGCCTCAGCCTCAGCCTCAGCCTGCTTCAGCCTCAGCCTCAGTCTGCCTTCAGCCTCGGCCTCAGCCTCAGCCTGCCTCAGCCTCAGCCTGCATCAGCCTCAGCCTCAGCCTCAGCCTCAGCCTCAGCATCAGCCTGCCTCAGCCTCAGCCTCAGCCTGCCTCTGCCTCAGCCTCAGCCTGCTTCAGCCTCAGCCTCAGTCTGCCTTCAGCCTCGGCCTCAGCCTCAGCCTGCCTCAGCCTCAGCCTGCATCCAGCCTCAGCCTGCATCAGCATCAGCCTGCCTCAGCCTCAGCCTCAGCCTGCCTCAGCCTCAGCCTCAGCCTGCTTCAGCCTCAGCCTCAGTCTGCCTTCAGCCTCGGCCTCAGCCTCAGCCTGCCTCAGCCTCAGCCTGCATCAGCCTCAGCCTCAGCCTCAGCCTCAGCCTCAGCCTCAGCCTCAGCCTGCCTCAGCCTCAGCCTCAGCCTCAGCCTCAGCCTGCCTCAGCCTCAGCCTCAGCCTCAGCCTGCTTCAGCCAAAGCCTCAGTCTGCCTTGAGCCTTGGCCTCAGCCTCAGCCTCAGCCTGCCTCAGCCTCAGCCTGCATCAGCCTCAGCCTCAGCCTCAGCCTGCCTCAGCATCAGCCTGCCTCAGCCTCAGCCTCAGCCTGCCTCAGCCTCAGCCTCAGCCTGCTTCAGCCTCAGCCTCAGTCTGCCTTCAGCCTCGGCCTCAGCCTCAGCCTGCCTCAGCCTCAGCCTGCCTCAGCCTCAGCATCAGCCTGCCTCAGCATTCAAAATGTGGCCCGGGAATGGAGTTCTGGGAACTCGAAGAACACGAAGTGGCCTACAGTTGGCTCCGGGCATTCAAAATCATGCCCAGGAATGGAATTCTGGGAACTCGAAGATCACGAAGTGGCCTACAGTTGGCTCGGGGCATTCAAAATGTGGCCCGGGAATGGAGTTCTGGGAACTCGAAGAGCACGAAGTGGCCTACAGTTGGCTCCGGGCATTCAAAATGTGGCCCGGGAATGGAGTTCTGGGAAGTCGAAGAGCACGAAGTGGCCTACAGTTGGCTCCGGGCATCCAAAATGTGGCCCGGGAATGGAGTTCTGGGAAGTCGAAGAGCACGAAGTGGCCTACAGTTGGCTCCGGGCATTCCGAATGTGGCCCGGGAATGGAGTTCTGGGAGGTCAAGTACGAGGAATTGTGTGACTGTTGCGTCCGGCTATTCCGAATGTGGCCCGGGAATGGCGTTCTGGGAGGTCAAGGAGCACCAAGTGTGTGACTGTTGCATCCGGTTATTCAGAATGTAGCCTGGGAATGGGGTTCTGAGAGGTCGACGAGCACGAAGTGTGTGACTGTTGGTGAAAAACGAGCCCGGCACAGGCCCGGCACCCTGCCGGCCGGCAACTCCCAACGCCTGCCCGGACCCCCCTGTGGAGTGATCTGTGAGCTCTTTTGAGTCAACTAGAAACCTATCAGTCTACGCTGTTAGGTAAAAAAACAGCTGACCCAGCAGAGAACACAGAATGGGGCTGGGCGTGGCCTCGCTGGGCACCAGGCACGACCAAAGGGGTCAGCGCCAGGTCTTGCCCCGCGACCAAACGAAGGATTGCAAAAAAAAAAAACTGTGCTAAGGATTGCAAAAAAAATGTGTTTTTTTGCAATCCTGTGCTCTCGGCGTGGCCGCGCGGGCCCGCCGCCGCTTCCGCAGGGGCTCACACACGGGCATGCCCGCATGCCCAGGGACCACAGGGCCGCGGGCAGCCACGGAGGGCCGCCGCGCGAGACGGAGCGAGCAGCGCAGGCGAGGGGCCCGATGGAAGCACGAAAGATGTCGCCAAGCGTGGGCAGAGGATCCTCCAAGTAAGCGCCACACGGATGCCCCACTCTGGAAATGCCCTTCGTCTTTTCGCTTTGCTGCAATACCTCAACATGGCCTGCCTTTCCGCACTCGACTCTTCGGGTCCCAGTCCTCTGGCAGGGGTTCTCGGTCCCTGGCAGATTCCTCCATGTCTGCCCGTTGTTGGTCCAGGTCGATCAGAAGTGCTGCTAGTCCTGCAACAGAAAACAAAAGGCCTGGCAACCGCAACGCAAGAATGTCGTCGGCGGAGCCCTTTTGTGCGGCCCGCCTGGGTCGAACTTGTGTTGCCCCCATCGTACTGAAGGACCACATTCCAGAAATAATTTCGAGCACCCAGAAAAGTGTCAAAAGAGTGTCGAAGCAGTGTCGAAGCAGTGTCGAAACAGTGTCGACACAGGTTGGAGCATCATGAGGGTAAGCGACAAAACATAAGCGGGTGGAAGCACAAAGAGTTGTGCAAGGCGTGGGCGGGCGCACGCGGGGCCCCAGCAGGAAAGCACGTGTGGATGATTTCTCGGAGGGGGCGCACTGCGCTCTTTCCGTCTGGCGTGGCCCGGCGAGGGAAGACAGCCAGAACCCCAGGGCCTGGAACGCAACCAGGCCCGCCCCGCACATACATACATAATCATATACACGCTTCCAGCTTCCCCGTAATCGAGGCGCCGGACCTCTGGGAAGGTCACTCCGTCAAGGAACCACTCTTGCACGCAGCCTGGGGTGCGCCCTGACCCGGATCTCGGGGCGAATCCAGCCGTGGCGACGAGGAGAATGCGAGGTGGGGATTTGTCCATAATCACCGCCTGGATGATCGACCACTCGGCAGGCGGTGGATATGGATGCACCTGCCCCCCAGGACCCGAGTATATCCACCACATCCCCCGTAAGCCTGAGGACCCCTCAGGTTGACCCAAAGGCAGGGGTCATGGAGAAACCCTCGCCTCGAAGAGGACGGGCAGCTGCAACCGTCGGAGCACAGCTCAAAATCGGTCCCCGAAACCCCTCCCGACGCTAAGACGCACCTTGTGTTCCGTGCTGCGTCTGGTCGTGGCGGCGAGGGGACTCCCAGAGCGCCAAGTATACCATCGTCTCGACTCGCCCCCCGCTGAAAGCGGCCCCCCGTCCTCCCCCGGAGGTGCGGCCCCAACCCCTTCCCCACGGCCAGAGCGTCGCCCCGGCCCCGTTCTCTCGATGGCCCCGGGGTCCGACGGCGGGCCCCACAGAGAGGCGAGGAAGCACCAGTGGCGGAAGAGGTCTGGCACCGCCACACGCCCGGGCGTTGGCAGGGCCACCCGCAGGAGACACACGAGCTGCGGCAGACCTGGCCTCTGGTGAGTCTGCGTTGGGCTTCCGGGCCCCGTCGCTGACTGGCTCCCCTGCCCCGGGGCCCTGGCCTCCTCCTCCTCCTCCTCCTCCTCCTCCTCTCCTCCCCATTCTCCTCCCTCCTCCTCCTCCTCCTCCTCCTCCTCCTCCTCCTCCTCCTCCTCCTCCTCCTCCTCCTCCTCCTCCTCCTCCCTCTCCCTCCCCCCGAGCCTGGGCCGAGCCGAAGGACGGCAACCTCTGCGGTGCGGCGGCGGGCGCCGCCAGGCTCTGCGGCCGCGGGCAGCGGGCGCTCCGCGGCTGGTCGGCCTGCGGCCGCGGGCCGCTGGCGCTCAGCGGCGGTGTGGGCAGGGCCCGCACAGCGCCCGGGAGCCGCAGGAGGGGCACTGCGGCGGCGGCCTTCGGCGGGCCAGCCGACAAAACCAGTTCCCCTGGAGTCGTGACAAAAATCGCGATGTCGCCACTTTCGGCCTCCGGGGGCCCTCACGGGGCCTCGGGACCGTCCAAAAAGGACCCAGGATGAAAAACTCGGCCCCTGGGATGGGGCGAGACCTCTGGGGGTCGACGTTGCAAAAAATCATGACATCGGGGGTCAGGGGGGGGGCTCCCGAAAGGGAGCGGAGTCGGAGTATAGTTGGGGTCGGAGCATCGCACCGCATCGCCGACGCACCGCCGATGCACTGGCGGCGGCGGCGGTGCAGACGCGACGCTGGCGTGGAGATATTCCGGCCCCACGTCGAGCCGCATCGCAGATGCATCGGCGATGCGGCACAATCCTCCGAACACATCTGCTCCGACCCAACACGGGAGGCCTAGGGAGCCGCAGCAGGAGCACTGCAGCGGAGGTTCGGCGGGCCAACCAAAGGCTTACGAGTGACGAACGTATCCACGTCCACGCCCAGACCTCCACCGTCCCCTGAAAAATCTCCGCGTCTTGGTTTGGGTCCAGGTGGGAGTTGCTCGCCCGGCTTCGGGATCCCGGCCCAGCACATATCGATACAGCTTGACAAGTGGCGCAGGCAGATGGGACTCTGGTCGTGGTTGCGTTTTACGATGTTGCACTTGCTTCGAGACGCCTGATCTCAGGGCATCGTCCACATCTAGGGGAACGAAGAATGGCATAAACATAAAAACTCAGAGGTCCGTGCAAATTTCTCGGATCGGCGCTGGACCTCCTCCCTCCTCCGCGCGCCAGGGGCGGCGCAAAAGGCGCCGCCAAGGGGGTCCAGCGCCGATCCGAGAAAATTGCGCGGACCTCCAAGTTTTCCTATTTACGTCGTTCTTCGTTACCCCAATATCCACGCCCAGCCTCCAACGTCTCGAGGAACTCAATGCGGACGTTATTCGCTGCCTTGGGCCTCGGGAGCGCTGGAGACCGTTTTTCTTTGAATCGGCGATAACCCGGGTTATCCCAGGGGGGGACGAGGGGGCCGGCCGATAATCCAACCCTCGCGCTGTGGGCAGCCCTGCATATGCCCGCTCCCCCTCCCGCGGACCTGCACAACCGGCAAGATCAGGTTATCCTGGGGCGGGGGGGAAGGGTGGCAAGCCCGATTAACCCGGGTTCTCGCCCGACCCTAAAGCAAAAACCAGTCTCCTGGCTGGGCCCCGGGAGCCGTCGAGGCACGGCTCGGCATGCAGAGCCAGCCCTGGAGGGGGCCGAGGCTTCCCGGCTCGCACGCCGGGGTGTCGGCCCCCTCCCCTCGGCCGGCGCTGCGAGGCGGGGATCCGTCCACGGCTACCGCCGGGGGGATCGATCGCGGCAGCGTGTCGCCCCCCCTCCCCACTCCCCCTCCAGGGCTGTGTGTCGCCCCCCCTCCGGGGCTGTGTGGGCGCTGCGTGGTCCGGCGGTGGACGTGGCTGCCTCCAGGGCCCAGGCATTGCTTCGCATTGCGTTGCATTGCTTGGCGTTGCTTGGCATTGTTTGGCACTTGCTTGGCATTGATTGGCCCTGCTTGGTATTGCGTGGCATTGCTTTGAGTAGATTGGCATTGCTTTGCATTGTTTGGCGGTTCTTGTTTTGGAGATCCTTTGCAATGCCGGGGAACCCGAGCAACAAGACCGGGGAACCCCAGGAACCCAAGCAAGGAAGAAGACTGGGGAACCTGGGGAACCCGAAGAACAAGACCAGGGAACCCGAGGAACCCAAGCAAAGAACAGGGAACCCGAAGAACCCAAGCAATGAACCCGGGGAACCCGAAGAACCTGGGAACCCGGGGAGCCAGGGGAACCCGGGGAACCGCAGGAACCCGAGGAACCCGTGGAACCCGAAGAACCTCCGGGATACGGGCAACGTAACAATAGGAGGCACCGGGGGCGGCGAACCCGAGGAATCCGAGGAACCTCCGAGCAACGTGCAAAGTAACAATAGGAGGCACCAACCATGAACCAAGTAAGAACCCTTGCGCAAGTCTAAGTGTGGAAAAGGGGAGGCCAAATCGAGTGACGGTCGAGTCGAATGTTGCCCTCTGGGTTCGGGGCGGCCGCAACCGCAAGGCCGGCGAGACGACAATGTGGGGGGTGGGGGAAGAGAGGAGGCGGAAGCCGAATCTTACAGCTCGGCTACACGTAAGATGTGACCCTCGGTAAGAGGGGCCCACACCAAAGGCCACTCCAGAGAAGGTTAGAAGGTTCACTCTCACGTGCAGTCGAGCACCACTGCAATGTCCAAGAGCCCTGAGCTGTCCTTCAGGCCGGAGGGCACCGAGCGGGCCACCTCGACGTCTGCGGCGGCGCTGTCGGCCTTGCGAGAGGAGCAGCTGCAGGATGACGAGGGATGGCTGGGATCCAGGAGGAGGGTGGACGACGACGAAGGTGACAACGGCCGCGGCGCCGCTTTACGAAACGTGATCCTCTCGATCGGGAGTCAGAATCAGAATCAGCAGGCGGGGTGTCACCGCGGAGAGCGTGCACAGAACACACGTCAATGGAGAAAGCTCAAGACTGGGTCGGACCACGTCAGACCGAGTGAGTTCGAGTAAACCACGGCGTACGAGCCAGGCAGCAGATGCTCCAGCGCACATCGAGCGCAGAGATCAGGAGATGTGCATTCCATTCAAACCTCGTCCAAACTTGACCCTTCTGGGGGGATCCTTTCCACCACCAGCTGGCAGGCTGCATTACTTCTCGGGATGTCTGTCGCAGTCCGTACTTAGGCTGAGCTTTCCGCGCCGAGGCGGGGACACCAAACGGCATCCCACAATTAATGCACATCGACAGTCCGTGCACGCGCCCCTTAGGGAACAGCTGGACCTGGCACCCAGCCGCGTTGCCCAGTAAGTCTATCAGCGGCCTCGCGGGGGAGGAGGGCAAAGATCGGGGATCTTCTGACCCGGGTCAATCCAGACCCGGGTCAGCAGGAAACCAGAAACTGCAATGCAGGAAAAAAAAAAAACTGCAGCGCAGGTCTTCGCAAACCCGGGTCAGCCAAGATACGCGGCCGCCTCGCGGCCACGAGCGGCTCCCTGACCCGGGTCAGCCCGAGGGGGTCTTCGCAGGATCCTGCAGGATCCGGTGCCCAGGCTGACCCCCGTCTGCACTGACCCCCGTCCCCAGACCCCCGACGTAATGATTTTTTCATTACGTCGACCCCCAGAGGTCCCGACCCTTTCCCCATGACCGGCTTTGCATCCTGAGTCGTTTTTTGACGCTCCCGAGGCCCGGTGAGGGCCTCCAGAGGCCGAAAATTAGGAAAAACCTCCCGTCATGATTTTTTCATTACTCGAGGGGGTCTGGGTCTCGAGGCTCCCGAAGAGAGCCCGGCAGAACGGCGCCCATGCCGGGCGGAGATCCGCCATATGGCGGTTGTTCTCCGCGAGTTGAGGTTTGCACCACCCGGGCGGGCGCCGCACGGGCGCGCTGCTCTCCTGTCAGGGGCGGGCCAGGATAAAGAGCCCGAGGACACAGAGAGAAACAGAATCCAGGAGTCACCATATGTCCTGGGTTTTCCCATCGTTTCTCCCCCACTTCCCATATTTCCCCCCCCCCCCATAGATCTTCCCCCCCATCACATCTTCCCCCCCACTGCCCACATGTCCCATATATATTTTCCTGGGAGTCGCCGATGAATTGTGTCTGTGTGTGTGTTTGTCCCCTCACCAGGTACCTTGGCGCAGCTGCCGCCATGGTCCCCGCAGGCGGGGCTGGCCGCACCAACGCACCCAGGGACGTGATCCGTCTACCCCTGAAATGGCCGCTGCCTGTCCTCCCACTCTCTCTCTGCGGCCGCCTGCTCTGTCCCGTTCGCTAAAACGGTGCCCCCGTTTAGTGAGCTCCTTCCGCCTGCGCAGACGACCCCTGCCTAGCCGCCGACGCAAAAAAAGGTGTTGTTTCCCCTCCTGACGGGAGTGGAGCAGAAGCATGGCAGACTCGGGAATCCCGAAACGGTGCGGTGACAGACCGTGCGGTGACCTCGAAGCCCCCCCAGAACCTCACCGCGCGGTCCGTCAGCGCACGGTTCTGGGACCTCGGAGGCCCCAGTCGCCCGAGACGTACTCGGAGAACGACCCGAGACCCAAAACCGTGCGGTGAGCCCGAATCCCCACCGACTCACCGCACGGTGTGGTCACCGCCCCGTTTTGGGGGGCCCCCGATAGACAGGAGAGGCGAGGAGCCCGACGAGCCACCCGGCAGCACACGGCAGCGGCGAGCCGCGAGCCACGCGCGCCCCACAGCAGAGGGGGAAGGCGCGAACGGGAGCAGGGCGGGATGGATGCATGCAGCTCAGGGTGCGCGGCGACAAGAGTACACGTCGGCCGGAAGGAGCAGGTAAAAGCGTGAAGCAGGAAGGCGGATTCAGGAGATTGGGCCCAGGCCCTTCCCAAGAGTCACAGAGCAAAACAAGAGCACACCGACGCTTAAAAGTAGGAAGGCGCCTGCAACAGATTGGGATTTGGGGATCCTTTTCACGTTCAACGACCGGCGTGCTTCGCGTAGCCCTTGCAGACAGGCAACAAAGGGAAGCATGAAAATACCAAACTCCGGTGCTGCTGTTTTTTGCTGAGTCCGGGGGACCCTGGCGCTCTCGGACCGACATCCCAGGGACTGGCTTCTGTCGCTGCTGGTTCGTCGGTGCTCCTCAAGGGGGCCCGGCGTGGGCCTCCAGAGGCCCAAGGCTCAGAGAAGCACTGCGCCTGGAATCCTTTTCACAGCGCCGGAGGTGTGGCTTCCAGCAAGGCGCGAGGAAACAGGGCGGTTTGCGCCTGGGCACCGAAGACATCGGGGGGTAAGACACATGCGGATGCCACGGTCCCTCTTGCGAAGAGCCGGCCCTCTGCTCTCGATCCTCGACCTCACTCCTCCTCCTCCCTCCTCCCTCCTCCCTCCTCCCTCCTCCCTCCTCCCTCCTCCCTCATCCTCCTCCTCCTCCTCCTCCTCCCTCCTCCCTCCTCCCTCCTCCCTCCTCCTCCTCCTCCTCCCTCCTCCTCCTCCTGCTCGCTCCGTCCTCGACCTTCGGCCCTCCTGACCAGGGGCGACCCGGTCCCCGACCAGGGGGGCGGCGGGGCGGCGGCGGCGGCGGCGCGGGGGCGAAGGCCTCGCGCTGCGCGCCCGAGGGCTTGGCGTCGGCGCGCCCCGCGCCGGGCCGCCGCACGCCGTGGCCGCCGCTGGTGAGCAGCGTGGGCAGCGCCTCCTGCGCGGTGGGGGGCCGCGCGCCGCGGCGGCGGCGGCACGCTGCGGCCTCTCGCGGCCTGCCGAGGCCCAGAGGTCCGACGCTGCAAAACAGATTGTGGGAAGGCACCAACTATACACCAACACCGATCCTGGGCCCAGGGTGATCCTGGCCAGGATCGGTGTTGGTGTATAGTTGGTGCCCTCCGAGATTGGGGCGGGAATGGGTACCGAAAGAATGGGCAACATGCCCAGCAGCAAATGTTGTCCCGAACCAGCAGCGGCCGCTGTTGGGCGGGCGGCCTCCCGTCTCGAGTGGACACACAGGCCGCGGCGGCGCGGACAGCGAGTCCTGTGCAGAATGAACAGGAGCTGCTGTTGGGCATCGTACCCATTCTTTCAGTACCCATTTCGGGCGTCCAGACTCGTGGCCTGCCGAGGCCCAGAGGTCCGACGCCGCAAAGCAGATTGGGGCGGGCGGTTTTCGGCAGCGTTCGGCCTCCAGGGGGCCCTCGCCGGGCCTCGGGGCCGTCAAGAGACGGCTCGGGAGGAAAACAAAAAAACCGGTCCTGAGGAGGTGGTCCAGACCTCCAAGCTCCAAGGCCCACGCATCGAGAAAAAATGGGAGCAGCCCGATGTCTTGTGGAGAGCAATCCGTTTGCCGCAATGGAGCCGCAGCTGTTTTGGAACAGCTGGCGCTGAGAACGGCCGAGGCCCCTTCGTCCCGAGGGCTCGCTGATAGGTCCAGCGGGGCCTACCAAACCCAACAGCACGTACTTCGGATTCCATAATAAAGTGGGAGGGGTCACATTTTGGGGGGGGTCTGATTTGAGCTGTCTTGGAGGGCTCGGGGGGGTCTGGGCAAAGTGCCGCCCTTTCATGGATGGTCTGGGAGGGTCTAAAACTTGTGGTCTGGGAGGATTGTGACCCCCTCCCTTTTATTACGAAATCTGGAGTAATAGTCAGCAGAGGCGGAAAAAAAACGAGGTTCCCTATTATCGCGGGAAGGATACCGATGCCGCTGCCCTTCCTTCCCAACAGGCCCGCATCAGGCCCCAGACCCCAAGGGGCCCCAAGACACCCCCCGAAACTGGCTCCAGGGGGCTTTCGAGAGGCCTCCCAAGAGCCACGTGGCAACGACATGGGGAACGAACCATAAGTATAAGTTCGCTCAACTCATCACGTGGCAATGCCGCGCTGCCAAACATAAACAATCCCGCTCGACTCGCCACGTGGCAACATCTGGGGGGCGGAAACATAGATGCGATTATACCCATAGACATCACAGAGACCTCTGACCTACAACATAAGCACGCCGCGGTGCCTGCGGTGCTGGACGTCTGGTGGTTTGGTCGCGTGAGTTCCTCGTCGAACTTCCCCTGGGGCGTCGGCCCAGCGCGGCGGTCAACCGGAGAGCCCCTCAAACTGCAGTGGCCAATCGCTTCCCCGCTCAAAGACCCAAGATGGCCTGCAAGACGGTCAAGATGGCCCAATACGGCCTCCAAGATACCTCCAATAGGGCCAACATGGCCCCAAGAGGGCCCAAGAGGGCCGAAATATCCACCTTAGACGGGCCAAGATGCACCCACGATGCCCTCAACATGGCCCAGGACGGCCCAAGAGGCCCCGGAGAGGCCTCCCTGACAGCCCAAGAGGCCTCCAAGAGGTCCACCAGGAAAGCCCGAAAAGCCAAAATCCTAGATGTTCCTTCGGTTGTTGAAGAATTGTGGCATTTGCTTCTTTCCGGTCTTCCGACGGCCCAGGACGGCCCAAAAGCCCCCGAAGATCGCCCCAAGATCGCCCAGGAGGCCTCTAAGATGGCCCCATAACGGCCCAAGAGAGCCCCCAAGACGGCCTGAAGAGGGCCCGAAGATGGCCCAAGAGAACTCTAAGACGCCCCCGATAGCTTCCAAGACGGCCCTGAAGCGCACTGAGAGGGCCCAGAGTGAGGCCCCCAAGACGGTTTCCGACTGCATGACGTGCCAGGAATGCCCCACGACCGCCAAAGAGGCCCCCAAGAAGCTACCAAATGCTTCCAAGAGGCGGCCCAAGGAGGCCCCCAATAGGCCTCCAAAAGGCCCCAAGGAAGCTCCCGGGAGACCCCAAGAGTGCCCTAACAGGCTCCCAAGAAGCCTGCGCCTCCTCCTTTGGCATCCCTCTCGTCTTCCTATTGTGATGATCATAAGTCGTATTATTCGTCTTAATATAATACTAATATATGTGTTTATCAATATTGTGGTGATTAGTATTGCAAGTTGTCTGATTCGTCTTAGTCTTCAAATTAGTAGTCGTACCCTACTTATGCATGGCATTCGTATTATGTGTGTGAAGATTCCCTATGATCAGTTTACTATGTATCGTTTTTCTCCCCCATGTGTTCCTCAGAAGGTCTCCATAACGGCTGGGGAACAAATAGTACGATAGCTTTGCCGAGCCATGGCCATAACGTTCGGCAATAGAGGCACTTCCAATCACCGGACAGCTCGCCCCTTGGCCCCCCGCCAGCCCCACGCCAAGGGGCGAGCATATATACGGGCGCAACACCTCGCTGGAGGCGTACCCGTCGGCTGGGCCGACCATACAGATGATGCATCGCGTGGCGGCTGGATGCCCGCGCCGAGCACAGAGCTCTTCTCGGTTCCTCCCTCCTCTTCCTCCTTCTCCTCCTCTTCCACCTCCTCCTCCTCCTTCGACTCCTCCACTTCCACCTCCTCCTCCCTTCTGCCGCCTCCTCATCCCGTCCGCGTCCTCCGCCCTCGAGCTGATCCCCCCCCCCCCGTCGTCCATTTTCAATGAAATCCTCCTCCCGCCGCCTCTTGCCTCGTCCGCCCGAGATATCCTCACCCGCTTGCTTAAACCTGCCACCCGAAATATCCTCACCCGCTGGCTTAAAACTGCCACCCGAAATATCCTCATCCGAAATATCTTCACCCGCTGGCTTAAAACTGCCACGCGAGATATCCTCACCCGCTGGCTTAAACCTGCCACCCGAAATATCCTCACCCGCTGGCGTAAAACTGCCACCGAAATATCCTCACCCGAGATATCCTCACCCGCTGGCTTAAAACTGCCACCGAAACATCCTCACCCGCTGGCGCTTAAAACTGCCACCGAAATATCCTCTCCCGCTGGCTTAAAACTGCCACCGAAATATGCTCACCAGCTGGCTTAAAACTGCCACCCGAAATATCCCCACCCGCTGGCGTAAAACTGCCACCCAAATATTCTCACCTGCTGGCTTAAAACTGCCACCCGAGATATCCTCACCCGCTGGCTTAAAACTGCCACCCGAGATATCCTCACCCGCTGGCTTAAACCTGCCACCCGAAATATCCTCACCCGCTGGATTAAAACAGCCACCTGAAACATCCTCATCCAAAATATCTTCACCCGCTGGCTTAAAACTGCCACGCGAGATATTCTCACCCGCTGGCTTAAACCTGCCACCCGAAATATCCTCACCCGCTTGCGTAAAACTGCCACCGAAATATCCTCACCCGAGATATCCTCACCCGCTGGCGCTTAAAACTGCCACCGAAACATCCTCACCCGCTGGCGCTTAAAACTGCCACCGAAATATCCTCACCCGCTGGCTTAAAACTGCCACCGAAATATGCTCACCAGCTGGCTTAAAACTGCCACCCGAAATATCCTCACCCGCGGACATAAAACTGCCACCCAAATATTCTCACCCGCTGGCTTAAAACTGCCACCCGAGATATCCTCACCCGCTGGCTTAAAACTGCCACCCGAGATATCCTCACCCGCTGGCTTAAAACTGCCACCCGAAATATCCTCATCCGAAATATCTTCACCCGCTGGCTTAAAACTGCCACGCGAGATATCCTCACCCGCTGGCTTAAACCTGCCACCCGAAATATCCTCACCCGCTGGCGTAAAACTGCCACCGAAATATCCTCACCCGAGATATCCTCACCCGCTGGCTTAAAACTGCCACCGAAACATCCTCACCCGCTGGCGCTTAAAACTGCCACCGAAATATCCTCACCCGCTGGCTTAAAACTGCCACCGAAATATGCTCACCAGCTGGCTTAAAACTGCCACCCGAAATATCCCCACCCGCTGGCTTAAAACTGCCACCCAAATATTCTCACCCGCTGGCTTAAAACTGCCACCCGAGATATCCTCACCCGCTGGCTTAAAACTGCCACCCGAGATATCCTCACCCGCTGGCTTAAACCTGCCACCCGAAATATCCTCACCCGCTGGATTAAAACAGCCACCTGAAACATCCTCATCCGAAATATCTTCACCCGCTGGCTTAAAACTGCCACGCGAGATATTCTCACCCGCTGGCTTAAACCTGCCACCCGAAATATCCTCACCCGCTTGCGTAAAACTGCCACCGAAATATCCTCACCCGAGATATCCTCACCCGCTGGCGCTTAAAACTGCCACCGAAACATCCTCACCCGCTGGCGCTTAAAACTGCCACCGAAATATCCTCACCCGCTGGCTTAAAACTGCCACCGAAATATGCTCACCAGCTGGCTTAAAACTGCCACCCGAAATATCCTCACCCGCGGACTAAAACTGCCACCCAAATATTCTCACCCGCTGGCTTAAAACTGCCACCCGAGATATCCTCACCCGCTGGCTTAAAACTGCCACCCGAGATATCCTCACCCGCTGGCTTAAACCTGCCACCCGAAATATCCTCACCCGCTGGCTTAAAACAGCCACCCGAAATATCCTCATCCGAAATATCTTCACCCGCTGGCTTAAAACTGCCACGCGAGATATCCTCACCCGCTGGCTTAAACCTGCCACCCGAAATATCCTCACCCGCTGGCGTAAAACTGCCACCGAAATATCCTCACCCGAGATATCCTCACCCGCTGGCTTAAAACTGTCACCGAAACATCCTCACCCGCTGGCGCTTAAAACTGCCACCGAAATATCCTCACCCGCTGGCTTAAAACTGCCACCGAAATATGCTCACCAGCTTAAAACTGCCACCCGAAATATCCTCACCCGCGGAAATAAAACTGCCATCTAACG